GACTCACATCCCACTTCTGGGATGTGAAGTCCTACTTGAGTTGCTTTCTCCCCTTGAAATCAATCTCCAATACAGCCAATCCAGACAGCAGATGCAATTACATAGAGTGAGACTCTAACAGCCCTGCACAGCCCCGTAGCTCTCGAGCCCTCACCTCCATGAAGAGTGAATATGATTTCTTTGCATTTCTATATTTATTCCAGTTCACATAGAGTCATTATAAATGCCATATGAAAACTTACTCATTAAAAGTATACCATACTTTTGTCAAGAATTCGTTTCTGAAAAACTGAGTTAATTATGCTTATTATATAATTGAGGTCTAAGCAAGGTTTAAAAATGTATTTAAGAATATCTAAACCACTTAGCCTCAACCTTCTAAACTGAAGAGGAAATTGTTCATGGTTCTAGTGCTGAGTCATGGAGATGAGTACACCTGCAAACAGGAGTGCTGAGTCACAGAGAAGGGTGCACCTGCAAGCAGGAGTATTGAGTTACAGAGATGGGTGCATCTGTAGCAGGAGATGCTGAGTCATGGAGATAGGTATACCCGCAAGCAGGAGTGCTGAGTCACAGAGAAGGGTGGACCTGCAAGCAGGAGGTGCTGAGTCACGGAGAAGGGTGGACCTGCAAGCAGAAGGTGCTGAGTCACGGAGAAGGGTGCACCTGCAAGCAGGAGGTGCTGAGTCACGGAGAAAGGTACACCTGCAAGCAGGGGCTTAGAACTATGTTCTAGTAACAACTCCGAAAAGAAAAGCCCATTTACAGCTCTAGACTTCAGAGCTCGCTCTGTAAAAAGAAAGGGCATGTATAATTCAATGATATTTAATGTCTTACAGGGCTATTACTCTTTTGACTTAGAAGCATTATTAAATTTTCAAATGCACTCGAAAGCTGTATGGTATCTTCAGACAGAATTACAGCAGCAGAATCTAGAGTCCTCTAAAACAACAAATAAACCTGGGCTTAGTCTCATTATGGAGCTTTTAAAGGAATTATTAAAATGTATAAAATGAATATTCTATACACAAATAGTCATAGTTTCAGAATTTTCGTTGCCACAATTTCTGAATAAGAAAGTGCCTTCTATAGGTGTTTTATGCTAACACAAATAAACCATAAAGAAAAACTCTAGGGTACTTTCCAGCCATTTAATTTCATAATTCCATACTCTGATAGCTGTTTTTACAGTAGACTTCATGTCCAGGAAGAAAACAGGCTTTCCTTGTTAAATTGTAATTCAGATGTAGAGAAGTTACCACTTGTTTTCTTGGAACAAATGACACCAGAGTTGATACTTGTCTGTACATGTTGACTAATATTTAGGCCAATCCTACTTCTAATGCTTTGGTAGCCTGTAGGAAATTGACTTTTAAATTTACCTGTTAGTTGAGGCCACCAAAAAGTTATAACAACATGGTTCTACAGTTTCTAGTGAATGTACAATGAACACCAAACACAGTAGAAAGTGTACATTATGTGTATTGTCAGGTTATATAAAAATAAGAGGCAGGAAATTATGTGTAAGTCACAGGGACTGGAGTCAATGTACAAAAGTCTCTACATATTATCAGCAATTACATTAAATGACATTAATAATATGTACTTTGTAATAGGTTAAACACCACTGAATATTCAGCATGAATTCAACAAATGATGCACAAAGTGTTTGCCCTGGCGCTAAAACACCATTTACAAATTTGAAAGCCACAAGCATAAAGAAGGTGTTCACAGATCACATGACTCTCTGCTTTAATAATTTAATTCCCCCACACTGATCTGCAGATAATTGAATCTCTCTCAACAGTCCAGATAATGTTCTACCTACAGACTGAAAAGCTGCTTCTGAAATTCAAACGAGTACAATGGAGTTAGAACAGCCACACTATCTTCAAGCTGGAGACCATGTAGTCCCTAACTTCAGGATGTAGCCAATGCTAAACAATCAGTACAGGGTACCAGACCATGAGGTTCCCTGGCGACATCAGTTGTACAGAAATAAATGCATACACAAACGGATTTTCCTCTTTAAAGAAGATTTTACTTATTATTATTTATATGACTAAGTGTTTTGCCAGTACCATGTGTGCACACTACTTCCAGAGGCCAGAAGAGGGCACTTAACATTTGAAACTGGAGTTACAGAGGTTATGAGCTACCATGTAGGTGCCAGGACCAAACTCTAGTCTTCTGCAAGATCAGTGAGCACTCTCAGCTGGTAAGTCATCTCTCCAACTCCATAAACAACAGATTTTTGAGAAAATAATTCAAGACAATTCAGGAATGGAAATTAAATATTTAACAAATTTTCCGCAATCGCTGTGCAAGTGAATGGAAACAAGATGAATGTCAGCGCCCCCTACCTCAAACTAAACAAAAGTTAACTTGAGACATATCATAATATGAAACATAATAGCTAAAACCATGAAGCTTGTAGAAGAAAAGACAAGAGCATCTTTGGTCACAGGTATAAACATTCATGTTCGTGTGTGGGGTACATGTGGGGGTCAGAGGACTAGGGCTAACCAGGATCATCCACAGACATATCGCATGCTATTTAAAAAAGTCACATATGATCACAGGAGTATGAATCATACCAGTATTTGCATTGTCAAAACTCTTTTAAAAGTGTCGTATCTATTCATTTAAGTGTATGCAAAATATACATCATTTTTAAAATGGGAAGAATCATAAAGAATGTCTTATGAAAATTATTCATTGGGTGATATTGCAGAAAGGAAGCATGCACAACTGTTGAGTTAGGTTTGTTTGTTTGTTTATTCATTGGTTTGGTTTTGGTTGGCCTTTTCTTGTTGTTCATTCAGCAATTATGAAGTAACTGCTACATGCCTTCCTCTATTCTAGGTGTTTTGAAGTATCATATCAACAAGGAAAACTAACCAAAGACTCAGATTTCAAGTTGCTAACAATCTGTATGGAGAACAGGGGAATATTTAACAGAAGGAATAGCATGATAATCAATAACTAATGTAATATTTCAAACCATGAGCATTCCTGGTGCCATTTTTCTAAGCTATGACGTGCCTGTACTTAGGATGCATTTTGCCTTATTAATTGACCATGTTTTAGGGGTATGTCAGAAGTAGCACGTACACTGAAATCTTTTAAAACATGCCGAATTCCCAAGGTTGCTTTATTCCTCAAAAGTCTGTAGTATTGAACATTTGCATAAATACAGATCAAAGCATCAGCAAGTGGGCCCAAGGACAGTGTTTCCTATGCTACTGAGTCACAGCCAAGTAGAGGTACCAAGACAAAGAGCATCCTTTTGTCTTTATACCCAAGATAAGCCACTCGAGTGCGAGAGACTCAGACGCCCAAGCCATTAAGTTGTGGCTGCACATAAAAGATGCAGTGCGGATAATTCAAACTAGACAAGAAGAATGTGTTGTAAGAATAATTCTTCTTCACGTCATGGGATCTGGCACAAACAATAAATAAATCCTCATTTTTCTCTTCTAGTGCCCTGCCATGAGGAGCCACAGAACCGACTTGTTATTTACCATTAATAGCAACTTTGCGGGGTGGCCCATGGCTTTGGAGAAACTTCTCTGTATACAAGACAACCACTTTTTACCACCAACAATCCCTCCAACAAAGAGCATCTGTGCCAATGACTCAAGACTTTCTACACTGTAAAGTTAGCTGGCATACTGAAACAGTAAGGACGGTATGGCTTTTCAGTAACTAGAAACCACAGAAGAATCAAGTAAGACACTTGCATGTTTGGGCTTAAACACTGTTCAAAGATTAAGGAAGGATCAGTCTCCACTGCAGCTTTGCTGGTGCATCCTGGGCCTTGAAACTCAGATCCATGAAGCAGTTTAAGAATCTTCCAGAACCATGCATTAGAAACCTGTTCTGTTTATGTGTCCTACCCTTTTGGCACACATGTGATTTTGCTTGCATAGCCTCCTCTCCTGCTCACACATCTAGCTGCGACTCGGATCCTTTTCCTTAGCAAAGGCTTTCTCGATAAACAGTCTTTCTCAGTGAGCTTCTCACAGCATGATCTCTGATCATACTTTCATGATTAAGAGTCACCTAAGGTCATTTATTGTCAGAAACATTCCCTGTTCAGGGTCCAGACTGTGGGATTAAAAGCATAGGTTCTTCTTGCAGGATCCAATTGAAACCAGGTGATCTTCTCAAAATTGGTTTGTAAACCTTTGTGTTCTATAACTTACAAGTGTTATTATTGATGGTCTCCTGGCCAGCTCATAAAACCGCATCTAAAACATAATGTACCAGGCTGAGGACATGAGATCAACAGGACCTTTCATGGCATCATTTAGCAATGTAATATGTGGTAGGAAATTTTGTTCTGTCTCTACACGGTCAATATCAACCTGCTAATAAAATGTTTATGTGATCCAAAATGCTTAACTGATTATTGAGGATAAACTATCTCGCTCAGTGCCATCGAATGGTCATGGTCCCTACGACACCCACTGCAGCACTCATTGCTACCCTACACTCTGAAAGCCTCTGCTATAGCCTCAGTGGGAACTCATAGGAGATGTTTTCCAGCAACCTAGAGAGGCCTAGTGGCAGGAGGTGGCTGCAGTGGGCCATGGGGCACATCGTTGCTTCATTTAGCTAAATGTAGAGCACACAAGTTGACGTAAGCCAGCATTACTGTCCTTCAGCTTCTCGTCCACTACTCATGCACAAAAGCATTCACCAGAGAAGGAGCTCAATGGCAAACAGAAAGGAAAGACTAGGGTTCGTACCTCTGCATCTTTGATCTGAAAAGGAGTCAATAAAATTACGGAAATGCGTACTTAGAAACAAAGTCGGCCTTAGAAGTCAAGCTAAGGCTAGCCACTGCTCATTTGCCTTCAGCGCCATTCCTTTGAGAGTTCCATGCTTTCCTTTAGCATCAAAGCCCTACGAGCCATCACTCTGCTTTCGGAAAGCACCAGGTTTCTGCAGAGAGCCTCGCCGTGGCCAATGATTAAGGGAGGGATCGCCCTTACCTCTCAGCTCCCCCAGATCCAGCGATGTTCCCAGCTGCTCTAGCAAGGCAACCCGTGCTGCGTTCTTCTTGTGCTTTTTGCCATCGTAATGCTGCTGGGCCATCAGAGGATTATTAAACCAGGCTGCACAGAGGCCACAGTATCTGTCCGAGTCTCTCCTTTGATAGGGAGATGAGACCACAGGAGCCGTGTCCACCCGCGGGGCCTTGAGTGAACTCAGTGGCGTGGCTGTGGGAGAAAGCAAGAGTATGTCAGTTCATGTCTGAGCACGCTTCCCTTAAGTACTGAGGAAGGGGCATCCCGTGCTCGTGATGACAAGGGATTGCCAAGACTGGGAAATCACCTTTGCCAACCATCATCTTGAGCAGGGTACAAATTAAAATCTCTCAAGCACTGATACCAAAATTTGGATAGTTTTGTTTTTTGTTTTTTTTAAAAAAAAGCGGAAGAGATGGTCGTGATGGGGAAAAATAGTTTTCAGGTAAGACCTTGACGGAATGTTCTGTCAGTCAAGATGAAGATCAAGACGGCAAGGTTCAGAATGAGTCAACCAGTGCTAACTTGAAACAGCCAAGGAACAGAGGCACTGGGCAGCTGACTTGCATGGTACCGACTGAGGAGACCATTTACATATGTCGGGTTTTTCTTGGGACAGGCTATTTCAGACCACATCTGCTAACAAAACACAATTGTGCACCCAGAAGACCAGAAGAGACACTCTCCTGAGCAGAAGTTACTTATTCAAGCTGAAAGGGCGCATATCACTATTTTGAGATTGTACTCCCAGCTATTAATTTAACACATCCCATTGTGAATTTAGTTATTTCTGGCCCAGGGAAAGAATAGAATTGAACTTGAAGGAGTTTACTAATGGAAAGTAAAAATAACTTCTGTATGCTTTCAACATACAAATTGCTTCTCGCCTCAGAATGAGTGTGCCTGGAGTTACTGGCCTACTTCTCCGATGATTGACTTCAAAGACAGCAAGAGAGGGGTGCTATAAAGGTGAAGGATTAAGTTATAATGCACGGCTCCTTCTCAGGCCCCCCAAACACCTTTCATGCTTAGTAAACCAAGAGGCCACCTCCTTGTATAAAAACAAAGTGAACTGTACTGCATCATAGAAAAAAAATGTTTTAACCCAAATATTTTTGAGGAAGAAAGTGGTATTCAGTCTCATTGGCTTGTTAGTCATAAGCAATTTAACAGCATCTTCCGTGTGTCCCTAATCTCCATAACAAGGATTTGTAGTTGACAAAAATCAAGACAATTAGGGTATTCTTCCAAGGAAAAGCAACAGCTTGGGAAATCAAAGACAAGTTAAAGAACCAATTAATCAACCCCCTCAAGCTTCCAAGTTTTGATGGGGGGGGACCTTTAATGTCTGAGTTAAATGACTGATGCACAAATACATACTTGTCACGTGACACTTTCATCCAAGCAGCACACTGTCGGGACAGAATCTCAGGCAGACTTCCTCTGATCCTCGGTGCTCATCACAGTTGTAGCTAAGATTAAACTTAACAGGCCAACGTGTGGAGGAACTCTGATACCGTTCATGTTTTTTAAAAGCCTCCCTGCTGAATTTGGTCCGCTGGAACCATAGAGAAGTGAGGCTCGAATGTGGGCCATCTGTCTCAGCGGCCATCGAGTATCACTCCATCGTGACTTAGCAAAACTAATGAAAGCCACAAGCATGCAGTCAACCTGTCTATGAAAAGCTATCTGTCTCCTGTCTCAAGGAAATCACACCTTGCTTCCCAAGTTTCCTGCATCCTTATCACTTTCTGAAGATGCACAGCTACACGGCAATGGGAAATGTATCAAACATCTGCAGCCAGATGTTTGATGCACCCTGAAGCACGATTGTTTTCCTTTAAACTGAACTCTAGAAGGGACTTCACGGTCACTTTTGTTACTTGATGCCTGATAGTCCACACCTGGGCAGGAATAGCACACAAGAAAGCTATCAAATGGATAACCTCACCCCTCTAGTTCACGGGAAAACTCTTGCTTATGCTGGAGCTTTTACTCCCCTCCCCCATTACTGTCTAAGCGTGCAAACCTGGAAGTTTAAACTTTCGCCTGGTCTCATTTTCCAACCATCTCCCCATTGCCAACCAGCTTCCATTTCTGTAATGCCGGTGAAGGCAAATAAAGGCAGCAGCATGGAGCCAGCTTTAAACCAAAGCCATATCCCGGTCGGTCAGCGCTTCAGCACTACTGGGCTGTGTTACTCCTGATTCCTGATGTCTTTGGGTTCCATAATGCTACACTTGAGGGTCACCATCTCTTCTTAAGCTAACACATTGGTGGTTACAGGATCACCAGGTGGGAATGGAACAGTCTGTAGAAATACTTTTTTTTTAGGAGGAGCATAGACTCCTACTTTTAATAAAAATCTGTGTGCGCATGGATCATAACACAGTGCTTGGCCAAAGGGCACTGTCCTAGCCATTGAATACAGAGGTATTTGATTACCTTTGATTAAAAAAATTCTTTAGTTAATGTATAATTTTATTTTAATTTCATACTTTTTGTATTTTCTAAATTGTAAGAAAATATCCAATATGGATTTCACCTACCCTTTTGAAAGTTAAATCCAGAAACATTAGCTACTCAAAATCAATGAGTTTATTTTTATTCAAGCTTTAGACGTATGTAAATCTTAATATCTCTATGCCAAGATTGAACTCCCAACCAAACACATCAGGATAGGTGGGGATATGAACCAGATTCAATGATATTCTCACATACAACTCTACTCTAACACTGGTTCATGTTTCCAATGTTCATTCAGTGCTGAGAACCACAGCCCTAAGCATTGCCATATTTTCCTTAAAAATTATCATAAAGTAGCAGGCAGTGGCAGCACACACCTTTAATCCCAGCAGTCAGGAGGCAGAGATGGGTGGATCTCTGAGTTCAAGACCAGCCTGGTCTACAGAGTGAGTTACAGAACAGCCAGAGCTGCACAGAGAAACCCTGCCTTGAAAAATGCCCCTCTTCAAACTACCACAAAACTATTTTAGGCCACCATGAAAAAGACGGCCTTATAATATATGCGCCAGCGGTAGAAAAAAATGTCACGTTTATCATTTTATGAAAACATAGCTCTCAAAAAGAAAGTAGCCACGATCATACATCACAACTGCTAAAATGAAACAGCACTGTTGAGTGTTTTCCCGAGGAGACACTTCGGTAGTGGTTTCCGGCTGTCAACCGACTCTTCGCAGGAGGCACGTGGCACCTCGCTGTACTCTTTCTATAGCTACAGGTCCCATGGGCTGCTGCTCAGTCCACTGAATGAGGCCCTGACAACCTAGGAGTGAGCTCGCTCTCCTCCCTCCAAACTTACCAGCGTCTCTTCGTTCTGCCTCTCACGTGGTAGTTCTTAAAACCGCTTTCAGTCTTAGTAATCTCATAAATGTGTGGCTGTGGCTGTGTGGACTTTTAAAGATACATTTGTATTCACTGTCTTATCTAGAATATACCCATAATTCCTTGCTGCAGTGCAAAGATTCAAACAATAAACCTAGCAAAACTCGAGTTTCTCTGTGACTCATTTATTATAAGAACTTGGCCTGACGTCATTCGATAGGATTTATAGGCTATATCCCACTTAGTGAGAAGCACAGAAAATAGATTCATTCAGTTGTCTCTCCAGGTTCATATAGACATGCCACGTGTGTCTATCAGTGTATGTATTGGTTAGTTTTTATTGGCAACTTGATACGAACTAGAGTCACTTAGAGAAAGAACTTCAATTGAAGGATTGCCTCCATCAGCCTGGCTCATAGGCATGTCTGTGAGAAATTTTCTTAATTGTTAATTGATGTTGGAGAGCCCAGTCAACTGGGGACAATGCCACCTCTACGCAGGTGGACCAGGGTTATGTAAAAAAGCTAGCTGAAAAAGCTAAGGAGGGGAAGGCAGTTAGCAGTGATCCTTCCCGGTTTCCACTGCAAGCTCCTGCCTTGGATTTCCTCGACAAAGACTGAGGATCTGTCACCTGAACTAAACCTTTCTTCCCCAGGTTGCTTTTGGTGTTGGTCATGGTACTTAGAGCCCCGACAGAGAGTAAACTGACACAACACGTGTGCAAAATCCTGAAGTTTCTCAGCTTCAAAATACTTTCAGACTCAATGTTTTGGGCAGAAGGTCATGGATTTGTAGCCAGTGAAAGGTAACCCAAACAGACCCCAGTGACTCGAAGAATTAAGACAGCTGGAACACAGCAGTCCTCAGAACCTGAGTCACGGCCCGACGCACATTCCATATCTCTTCTGCATGCCTTAAACCAAGTTTGTCAGGGAACTTGTCAGCATCTCAACAGAAAGTTATTAGATGATCTGTCTCGAATAAAAACCTGGGATAATGTGTACTTTTGACTCCTGTCTGTGTTTTCGGATAAAACCACCAGCTGACTTGAGGACAGAAAAAGATGTGTTCAGTGTCTGCGCTGCGATCAAAACACTGCCTTACTCTGCGTCAAGGCATGGCTTGCAAGCTGACTCTGCACGGGTGGTAAGCTGCTGGTGGAATGCAACCTGTGTCTTCCATTGAATGACTTAAACAACTAATTAATCAACGAATACATAAATGGTTGTCATTATAAGCAAGTAAATTTAGATGGAAGGAAGCATTTACGCTTTGATTCTAAACTGTATTGGGAAGGGCTTGAGAAACTCGGTGTTGCAACAGTCAATGTGAACATGAGCAACGACGAGACAAGATGCTGGAGGGAGGGCTTGGCAATAGCCTGCCAAAGCATGGATGCAGCCCCAGGCTTCCCTTTGCTTTCAAACTAAATTAGGTGAATTAAAAGTCACTATTCTCTAATTTCCGTCCATTCCGTGGGGTGGCCTATTTATTTCTTGGAGACTACAGAAATGTGTATGCCATTCTAAAAACCACACCTTGCAGCAGGCAGTTGGATCTACCATGGTGTCGGAACTCTCTCTCTCTGGTTTCTGCTATGGTACTGTGATCTTCACTTCTGATGATGCTCTTGATCGGACTAAGGAATGACTCAAGACATTAGGGGAAGTACACCAGTGTGTCTTCAATGGCGTCTCCAGAGGTTATTAGATCCTGGGGGCTCTGAAGTCATCATCGGACTCTTGTCTTGGTAGGTTTACCTGGTAGCGTTTTGAGGAGATTGAGAAAAGGAGGAGGCCTAGTTGGAGGAGGTTGGTCTTTGGGGTGCTGTATGTCAGCGTGGTTCC